GGTCGGGAGCAGAAGCAGCCTGGTCAGCACCTTGACGTAGTAAAAGATCTGCGGCTCGTCGAAGCTGCCGTCGAGCACCCGAAGTATCGCGCACAGTACGGGGCGGCCGTCTAGCGGGATGTGCAGGTGGCGGTGGCGGGGCACCTCCTGATGAAGCGACCTGAGGCCCTCTGGCCTCACGTCTGTACACAACCTTGAGCCGTGATCCAGATGGCGACATAGGAAGGTGGGTATACACATGTGCACGTAGCGCTTCAGGGTCAATGTAGTCATGATGACATGCTGGATCAAGATCGTAGTCACATAAGGGACACGTCGTAGTCGCAGCTGCTGCCCATGTATACTCATGATGTGCGAGGTCGTGTATACATCGTCCAGCAATCCATGATCTGCGAATATGGCGCACAGCATGTTCATGATTGGGAAATGTGGTATGACATGCGATACATTTATTATCCAATTACAGTAATGTGAGTATAGATGGATGTCCGTGGCCGTCCGCTTTTGATTTCATTTGATGTGTTACCAACCGTTTAATAGTCTCAAACCTTTCCGAGCATCCAGGAATAGTACATTTGAATGGTCGCTCGTTCTCGGTTTCGCCGTCGGTCTCGGCGTGTTCAGCGGACGGCAGGGCCTCGGAGAGTCTACTGGTACCTGGGGGGATCCATCTCGTGGTCCAGAAGCTCGCTCGCAGCGCTCGGGTGTCGCAATATCGGAAAGCTTCACGGACCTCCTCATCCTCCCAAAGGGCTTTTATCACCTGTGGCCGCCATAGCTCCCCAAACGTTTGTCCGATGGGATGTTCGGCCAAGCACTGCAAGTCGTCGGCAAGCTGTAATGCCCACGGGTGCGTCGAGCTGGCGGTGGCGATCTCACCCTGCGTCGTGAGGGTAGGGCCAGCGCACGGTCGATCGTTCGAGTCATTCTCGAACCTGCACCTGCCAAAGAAAACTGCCAGAAAGTGGCTGTGATGCGTATGATCTGCAACTAAGCTTTGCCACCAACTGAGCCTGCGCACGAGCAACTCGATGGCCGTCGGAGCGACTTGCCATTCTCGAAAAAGCTGAAGAGTGGTGAGGGAACGATGGACACCATGTTCATCAATCTGATGTGCTCCTCCCATCATCATGGCTCGAAGTTTACGTGCGAGTGAGTTATCTAGGCGGTGAATTTCTCGTGGGCGTAACACGTAGCTTTCCAGGCCTGACCATATACGGCCAGCCACATTCGAGAGAAATGATAGTCTCATACTTTTCCATGGGCCCCCAGAGAACCAGTAGTCCCCAAGACGTGTCCATCCCACATTGGCCGAATGAATACGTTCACCAACTTCTCGAGGATTACTGTTTGCGACGCTGACGTATCCTCCTAAGTGTATGAGATCCTGTTGGGCCCTCCCCAAGACTCGGCGTTCGGCCTCCTTAGTGGCAGCTCGGGTTCCCACAGAGACCAACGTGTCCTGCTTTTCAACGTTCTCGGCGTAGCCTCCGAGGGATAGGGTCTGGGTGAGGGTATTGTTATCGATCATGTCGAGCAATATTGCCTGATGAGCCGTCCCGTCAGGGATGAGGAGTATCTTAAACAAGTCATCGATGAAGGCGCCTAGGTGACCCTTGTGGGTCGCTGACGTGAAAGGGCGCACAACACCGAACGGGTCCCCCTGCACTTCGGCCATCTGCGCTTCCCAATGCGATACCAGGGGGTAGAAAGATCCCATGAATAATTCTGGCTCATTTGAGCCCCCCATCCCCCCCCCCAGTTCCTGGCCGAAGAGCAAGGTTGGCGTCCGAGGCCTGGGGGTAAACTACGGCCTGCTCACGGTGCTGAGAAAGGAGAGGATGGAAGTGTTCGTCCTCGCATCTCAACGTGTGTGCTGCAATCAGCCGCTCATGGGAGCCCGCGGCGAAGGCGTTGCGCACGTCGTAAGACTTGGCCAAGAACGAAAGTCGCGAGCACCTCAGCTTCCAAATCATAAGCTTGGCCAGTACCATAAGTGCCTCTCGCCTCCGAGCAAAAATGCCTCCATAGGCCCACGGAGGGGGATCATATTGACTGCCGTACTTCAAAATACCGATACGAAGATATAATCGCCAAAAATGGTCGGAACAGTTGAGTAGCCGAACACAATTCTGAATGTCAAACGTGGGCCGTCCTGTAGGGAACTTGCCTTTCTTTCCGATTGCGATGGCATGGCTCGTGACGGCCTGGGCTGGCAACTGCTGGGTACGATGTACATTAGCGATCAGCTGCACGAAAGCCTGCACGATCTCATAGCATGAGTGCTGATCAAGTTTTAGCCGTCGCTGTCGGAAAGGCTTCTCGGAGGTCGCCAAGAGATGCGCTGAAGGGTAGTCCTGGGTCTGAAATCCAATGCCTGCTCGCTGTTGTCCAGGACGTGTCAAGTACGTGGGGTTGAGCAGCATAATTGTGATCTCGATCGGCCATGCCCAGGGTGGATTGTATCTGCGGCGCTTCTCGCGCCAAAGCCTTTTTTTGAATGTGTTGAAGTTCTTCAAGCGCTGCCTCCTGCTCCTCCATGGTTGGGACGCCCACGTCATATCCTACTGGTTGAACGCCCTCTGTCCGCGAAAGCAATCTCGCGATAGCTGTGGGGTCGTCAATGTACATGCTGGGGTACGCCATGCTGGCCTGGATGCCGCCGCCGGTGGCGGCAACTTTCAAAGCCTCAAAATATTCAGCACCACTGGGGCGTGTAGCAGGCAAGGAAAGATATGATCGTCGGCGCGCTCCAGTTCGGCGCCCAGCTCGAAGGTAAGTAAGATGCGAATTTCGTGATAGATCCCTTGCGGCCCAAGCTTCGCGAATGTCCTGATCCAAACTAACTTTCCACCAGTGGTCCATTTCCCGTTGATGCGCTTTGAGTTGATTTTGGATGTTCCGAAGCTCGCTGGAATCGAAGTCGTCGCCTACTGCACGTGCTCGTCCACGCTGTCGCAAGAGCTGGAGTCGTTGCTGGCGGGCATCATTCCACCATTCAGGCTTGTTGTTCGTCGTACCGTACAGCTTGGACGCCTGAGTGGTGATAATGCGATGAAGAATAGCATTGTGCCTGGTAGGGAATTGGTCCACGCGCGCTGCCCGTAGGGTTTCCTTGTACGTGTCCAAGTCCTTCGCAACAGCCTCGATAAGGTCTTCCCTATATGTGCCTTTCTGCAACCCCTGAGCGAGTAGCCCCCAATCCCATCGATTGTTGGCCTGCAAAGGGTCGACCTGGGTGACGGGGATACGGAGGTGTAATGCCATTGGAACATGATCAGGGACGTGGATGAGAGCACGTACTCGGCGATGGATTCTCCACTCAAGCTTAATAGTCTTGACAATCTCCCATAAGTTAGAATATCCAAAAAAAATCGATTCTGGAGCTACTTTTTTGGGGTCCATGGTACGTATAGCCGACATCGCGAAAAGTGTTGAGCGTTTTCAGTTCATGTTGCCGAAGGGCCGAATGCACTTCTTTGCCGAATAATGTCTCCGCACTTGCTTGAAAGGGGCCAATGGATTCGTCAGTGTTCTTTTTGCTGCCAGTCTTTCCCAAGCCCTGATTGAGGTCCGTGAACACTATCGGTATCACTCGATCGGGCACCTCCGTCGTAACTTGAATGAGCCATTTCAATAATTTGCGACATCCCACTAGCCATCTTGGTACATGAGCTGCCTGTCCAGGTCGTGGGGGGAAGTACGCTACGACGAATCGTATCCTGATTGCTCCACGATGCCCTTCCACCACGCCTCCTCGGCCTTGTACGTCGGTACTCGGATGTAAAATGCGAACAATATCTTGCGTTCGAAAATGCTTCTTACTGATAGCGATGCTGCAGCCCGCTGATGAGTTGGAGTGCAATGCGCGTCCCCATCCAAAGTGAATCCAATGATGCCGTACGCTGTTGTCATGTTGGTGAGGAACGTCCTTGGCCTTCTGTCGTAGCTTCGTGCCAACCATCAGTAGAGCCTGAAACGTATAGAAAGAATCTGAGATGTCGTCCAGTCTGCCAGGAGTGCCCTTGAGCGTGAACGGGTTCCAGCCTATCACCGCCAGCGAGGTAACATCTGTCGTGGCGATTCGAGGGCGTGGCGTGTAAGCTGGGAGTGGCGTGGTGGGGGCAGGTATTTCACTGTTGGACGGTCGGGCCTCCTGGCCTGGGGGCTCCTGGGCAGGGGCGTTCTGACTATTCGAGCTTTGGCGACGATGCGGACCGTCATTGGCGCACAGCCGTAATCTATGCTGCAGAGAATTGTCCATTCCAGTGGTAGGTAGTAGCTCATCTGCAGCATGTGGATGTTGGTCAGCTTCAGGTACTGCGTGCCGATGTATCAGTTCTGCCGCTGCTCGAAGTTCCTGGGCGTTACCTTCAGCTCGCTGTGGGTCGTGTTCGTAATCCCGCGGTTCGCCAGCTGCGTAAGGTACGCTGTACGGTGTGACGCCCATCCATTCGATGTCACTGTAGTCGTCCAATCGGGCGAAGTCCTCCGTCGCATCGCTCTCAGTGTTCACCAGCAGGATCGAGTGTTCTGCCTCAGCAGCTGTCATCCTCGCGGCGGCATGCACGGCTCACACACTGGAGCATCGCCGTGCTGGTGCCGCGCCCGTGCGGGGAGATGCCATGGCTGCGCTCTCTGCTGGTTGCCTGAATACGGGGGGCGCGTCCGCTGAAGGCCGCTGCGCCTCCGAAGGCCTGAGCTCGCGGCGGCCTTATCATCATCAGCATCATCATCAGCATCAGCATCATCATCATCTTCATCATCATCAACAGCAGTACCAGCAGTATCAGCAGCAGTAGTTGCAAAATCCTCCGCCTCCTCCTACTCCTCCTCCTCCTACTCCTCCTCCTCCTCCTCCTCCTCCTCCTCCTCCTCCTCCTCCTCCTCCTCCTCCTCCTCCTCAGCCGCGCACTCCTTCGGCCTCGCCACGCGACCGCACCCCCTGTCGCAGCGGCTGCCTTCGGGAGGCCGCGGCATGCAACCCCCCCGCGGCCGGCCTCTGCGCTCAGGCCAGAGAGGTCTGCGTCGCCGATCTCGTAAAGGCTTCGGTCGGAGATCCAGCCGAGGCGCCACTGTGAGCCGCTGTTTCTGGTGAGGCTTCGGGCTGCGCTCAGACGTGAGTATCGTTGAACCGATCCACATCCCCAGCGGCGTGGCCTGGGCCCCACAGGACAAGTTGCACTACTACTACTACTACTACTACTACTACTACTACTACTACTACTACTACTACTACTACTACTACTACTACTACTACTACTACTACTACTACTACTACTACTACTACTACTACTACTACTACTACTACTACTACTACTACTACTACTACTACTACTACTACTACTACTACTACTACTACTACCTACTACTACTACTACTACTACTACCACTACCTACTACTACTACCTACTACCTACTACCTACTACCTACTACCTACTACTACTACTACTACTACTACTACTACTACTACTACTACTACTACTACTAATACTACTAGTACTACTACTACTACTACTACTACTACTACTACTACCGCTTTGGTTCCAGGTGGGAGTTACTGTGGCCATTTTTGCCTGCGCGAGAGTGCATTCCCGTAAGGGCTGCGAATCCATCCAGATCTTATATGAGATACCTTTACATCTTACTGACACATTGAGCGGCCAGCGCGGGCCACAGTTACTCCCAGCCGCGCGACGGGCCACACTAACACCCAACGGGCCACACTAACACCCAACGGGCCACAGTAACAACCGGTCGCGGGGGGAGGGCCCCGTGGGTTGTGACCCCTCCCCCCTTGGGGGAGCACCCCTCCCTGGAAGGAGCTTTCGGCTCCAGAGCGTCCGCGTCGTCGTCGTCGCCGTCGCGGTCGTCGTCGTCCCCCTTCAGGGTCGGCAGCATCATCCAGAGGCATTCGCAGTACAGAAAATCAAACAGAAAATCTGCCGACCCCTAGGGCACCACGCGGGTGTGAGCTCGCTGCCCCGCACCAAAAGCTTCCGGTGGGAGCCAGACCCTATCCTCTCGGGCGGCGGCTTGAAGCTCGGCTTGCCAGAAGGGGCCTCTGGGTGCGCCAGACGCACGGGCATCGGCCCAAGATCGTCTCACGATGGACCCAGAGATAAATCCGGCTTGCTCAAGAAGTCGTCAAGCATGCCAGGGTCTGCCCAGGCTGTCCTCCAGGATGACCCAAGATAAGCCAGGATGGCCGAAGGTGGCCCCAGGGTGGCTCCGAAATGGCCACGGACTTCCAGCTAGAGATGCGATCCCAGACATGCGACGTCCTGATTTTTTCAGGACGGCGTCCCTGGAAGTCCCGACCCTTTCCCTGGGACTGGTTTTTCATCCTGAGTCGTTTTTTTACGGTCCCGGGGCCCGGCAGGGCCTCCAAGGGCCGAAAATGGTGAAAAACTAGCCGTCCTGATTTTTGTTACGACGCGAGCATGTCTGGGATCTACATTCCAGAAAGGGGCCGAAGAGGGAGAGCTCGGGGACGCACCTCCGAAGCCCTCAGAGCCTCCCAAACTCACCGCGCGTGGCCTGCAGAGTGCCCAGGATGCCTTCAAGGATGGCTCAAAAAGGTCTGCAACGCGCTGGAGGAGCCTCAAGAACACCCAAGATGGTCTCAAGACGGCCCAAGAGGCCCCCAAGGACGGCAAGAGGCAACACGTAGCTGATTATCGCTAGATTGTTGCACATGCTCGCGTTCTCACCGTTCCGCCTTCTCAAAAGGCGGAGAGGCTTCTGCAAGCCCCAGGCGGCCCACGAGGCCTAGAAGTATCTAACGGCCCAAGAAGCCCCCAAGAGGGCCAAGTTACAGCCCCAGATGGTCCCAAGACGGCCCAAGAGGCACCCAAGAAAGCCAAAAAGGCCTTCAAGCAGGAGGGGCTCAAGAGGGGAAGCTGGCAGGAGCCCCAGGAGCCCTCCACACGAGATGACCCCCACGACCCCAAACATGCCCCCAAAAGGCCGTCAAGAAGAGGGCCCCGAAAGAGCTCCCGGCAGTCCTGAAAGGGCCGCCGGCCCTCGAGGCCGCCCGAGGCCCCCGAAGACAGCGCGCGGCAGACAGTGCGGGGCCCCAACACATACACTGGTGGTGGCTATAGGAAAGAAGAAAATCCTGCGCGCGACCGCCCTGCCAGGGGTGCCGCTGCCTGCCCCCGCCGAGCGCAAGCTTTGGAGACAGATCAGCAACAAGTACACGCAGGCCAGCACGACGGGAAACGGCAGAGACGCGTGGGACGCCGGAAGCCGCACGCATAACCTCATTGGGGGGGTCGGCAGATATATGGGCGATTGGGGGTCAGTGCATCACCCCCTATGCCTATGCCCCCCTATCGTTGCCCCAGAATCGCACTTTGAACATTTGGGGGAGGGGGAGGCGTTGACCGATGAATGTGGCATGAATGTTCACTCTCTTTTTTGTTCCGAGGCCTGTCCGGCGGCTCTGGGGGATGTCTCGGGCGCGCCGCGGCCTGCAGAGCGCTCCGAAAAACGTTCTGGAACGGATTTATCCTCGCCCTACAGTGGAGGCCGGTCCACAAGAAACCTTCCACAAGAAACCCACCCCTGAGACGCCAGGGCGTCCACTGATTCGTGGTTCGGGAACGCCACGATTTCCGCAGCAAAACCAGCGAAACCCAAGGAACCCAGGGCACCCTGGAGGCGAGCAGGGCGTTTCTTGGCATGGGCCCCCACTGCAAGTCTCTCGAGCCACTTGAAACCCCAAGACGGCGCGAGACTGGCCCAAGACGTCAAAGACGACCCCAGATCCGTCCAAGACGGCCCCAAGACACCCCTGTAGACAGCCGCTATCAGGCAGTGCCAGGAGAAACGCAGGAACCTCTTGGATGACCTCTGGATGGCCACTGGGCAGCCCGAGATGACATCGAATGCCAGAAGAAAACCAACCCTTCCCATTGTTTCATGAGGGCTCAAGCCCCACACGGCCTCAGAATGACCTCAAAGAACTTCCGAGAAATTCACATTCGGCGGTGGACAAACCTCCTTTTAGTAAACCACCCTTTAGTGAAAACAGCCTAGGACCGAAACCGACGGACCTGGACCCGCAAAAATGACGGCCGCGACGCCCTCTCGCGAACCGAAAACAGCCAATTCGCTAATCGACGTGTCAGGGTAGGAGGTCGATCAACCTCAAACACATAATAGCTTGAACAACTCGTTTGACGATTCTGGCGGCTCTTTTTTCTCGGCATCGAACGGTTTGTAGATGCCGGAAGAAGGCCCCACGGTGGCCCAACGGGGCTTCAAGAAGGGCCTTTAGAGGGTCCCGTGGAAGCCGAAAGCTCAACAGGACCCCGAGATGCGTCACAGCCTGCACAAGAAGCCCAAGAGGACCAAGAGCTCCAAGACGTCCCAACAGGGCTCCGAAAGACCCCGAAGACCACCCAGAAGGCCCCGGAAGTGCCCCCAACGCGCGCAAGACAGCCCGGGCGGCTACACGAGACCCGCCAGCAGCAGCAGCGGCTGCGGAATAAACGGCGGCAGCAGACTGAGACCCCCAACGTCGTGCTTTTTGCACAGCGTCGACCCCCAAAAGTCTGGGCCAGTAGGGGCCCCCGGAGGCCAAAAACAACGAAACCAAGGCCACGCTAACGGCGGCGCTGCTTAACGATGATGTTGGGAACCAACTTGTAGGAAATCACGATCCACACTTCCCTACATTTCCCATATGCAGATGTATCGAACGAAAACGACACAGCGAATTGTAGGAGAGCGCGAGCCACGCGTTCCCACAATACCGAAGCCTACATCGCCGTTGCCTACAGCGAAAAACCTCCCGTCGCAATTGCTTCGCGGCGCGAGGGGCCCTGGGGAAAGGGCAGCGAGCAGCGTGGCCGACATAGAGAAGCAGCGGCCTGCATTGGCGACGAGAGCGGCACCAGCAGAAGCGGCACGGGCAACCAGCAGGCCCGCAGGCAGGCAGGCAGGCAGGCAGGGGCGGGAAGCGGCAACAGGCAGCGGCAACCCGACAAGCAGCAGGAGGAGGGGGAGGAGGAGGAGGGGAGGAGGAGGAGGAGAGGAGGAAGGTAGGAGGAGGAGGCAGGAGGAGGAGGAGGAGGAGGAGAGAGGAGGAGGGGAGGAGGAGGGAGGAGGAGAGGAGGAGGAGAAGGAAAGAGGGGAGGAGGAGGAGCAGAAGCAGCAGCAGCAGCAATAGTGCAGCAGCAGCAGCAGCACGCGGCAGCAGCAGGCCCACATCAGCGGGCAGCAGCGGGCGGCAGCGAGCAGCAGCAAGCGGCGGAAGGCGAGCAGCAGCCAGCGGCCGCGGACAGCCGGGAGGAGACAGCGGCGGGCAAGCAGGGAGTGACGAACGACCAACAAGCACCCATACCCATTGGGGGGACGGAATGAGCTATGGGTGCGTGTTGTTGGATGGGGGTCCCCGCTCCAACGGGAGCCCCCCAGGGGTCCGACAACCCGCACCCATACCCACAGCCAGTCCTTCTCCCTCCGACCTCCCTATGGGTATGTGTGTGTTGTTCGTTCGTCAGGGAGGGGAGGCAGGGGGAGGTACGGGGAGGGACAGCCGAAGCGGGTAGACGGAGGCAAGGAGGGGAGGTGGGAGGGGAAAGCGAAGGATGCGGGGAAGGCGGGGGGGTGCGGTGAAGGGAGGGATGAGGAGGAAAGGGGCGAGGAGGAGGAGGAGGAGGAGGACCCCGTCGCCGACATGAACACGGTGAACGATCGCAGTAAAGGGGCAGGCGGATGCCGCGCCAGCCTGCTAAAAATAACTTTTCGTGCTGCCACACCCGCACCAAGACATGCAGCTGAGAGTGCTGGCGCAGAAGCCGACCGGCCTGTCCCGGCTGCGGCCGCGGAGCGGGTCAGCCCGCGCACAGGGCGGCGCCTCGGCAATCCCGAACACACTCCCAGCCGTGTCAGCAGCCGAGACACTGCTGAGCAGCCGCCCCCCTGGCAGGACGGCGTCCACTCGCGCAGCCCTGGGGCCAAGCCTGCCTGCACAATGCTGGGCCACCAGCTGGTCATAGATGCCAGCAAGGCGAGCGGTGGGCCCAACCTCAGTTCGGAAGCGCTCCACCCCGCCGAGACTCA